ACCATCTAACATTAAGTGCTAGTGAAAAATTCATGTAGCTTATTTTCAAAGTGCAGATGAAGCCAAGATGGGGTTAAAAACAAAAATTTTAAATTCATTATGCCCCTAACATTTTCAACCAAAGATATAATCTGTATGAGCCTTTTTTCCTTCTTTACTTCTTCCTTTCTCTAATTGTCTTGTTTGAAACCTCTTTTACCCTTTTGTTTGGTGCATGCATTAATAATATTTGATTTGGCTTAAACAACTCCTAACAAACTGAAATGTCTGGAGCTCTATAGACAAATACTGTTATTAATGCAAGTACAATTACTGAATTGAACAAGAAAAATAATTTAGGCCACTTTAGGTTCCTGACTTCCAATGATAATTACTCCAATTTGGGTTATACTTTAAAGAGAAACAAAGCAGCTAAATAGCAATTCTATTCAGCAAAGAATTAATTTCTTTCCTATTCACTATTATGACAGAGTACCGGATTCTTTTAAAATCTAATAAATCAGAAATTCCACAACCATTTTGTACCGAATTTCATTCATAATTATTGTGATAGCAATTGGGACAAAGACAACATTCCAGTGTCAGTGAAAGGAAAGATAAGATAAAGAACTTGGCATGGTCCAAGGACATAAGGTTTGTGTCCTATCCTCAGGAGCCTACAAAACTGACAGAGCGTGATTCTCCCTGTACAGCGCTGCCTGACTATTCCCTGATTGGAGAGGAATAAAAAACCTTGCTGTTTCCCCTCCCATTGTGTTTGCTCAAACCGACCTAATTACTGGAGTGTGTTGAGTTCCTGCCAATTGGATAAAGGTGGCCGATGTGTTTGCTGCTTCAGAGAACACTGATTAGAGATATACATTCTAATGATACTTTTCACTCCTTAAGAAAAATCATAATATTTCTCTAAAATCTTATCTTGAGATACTTGGAGGGTATTACATGTATGGGTGCTCTTGTCAAGAGGTCCACGTTTTTTTCTTGCCCACGTGTTTATTCAGATGCCATCTTTGGAACACTAGATTGGGAACGAGGCCTATTTTATAATTATCATATATTAGCTGCTCTTCCAGGTAGTATCAATCGGGAGTTAAAGTTTCAAAGGTCTGAAGGTAATAAATTATGTGTCAAACTTCACATTAAGCACATTTTATCGGGAAAAAAAAAAGCCCAGCACAGATTACTACAATTTACCTATCTAGAATAACCCTCTAGTTATTAACTAAAATGAAAAATTGTTAACTTTTGTCATACTTCTTTTAAATCTTCCCATTGATACAAGAAAGAAACAAACCCTCACATTATTAAATTTCCTGTATGTTTCAAGGGTTAAACATTCCTTTTGGCACAAACGGTAACCATAACCTTGAATTAGTTTGTAACATTTCAAAGCAAAACTTCGATATAAAAGTACATTGAGTCAACCATGTCCATGGTGGCATATCTGTGAATTTGCATCTGCAGATTCAACCAGCTTCATACTCTGAAGACCAAACCTACCATGGCTGTGTTTACACCAAATACATACATTTTTTTTTTCACTCGTCATTATTCCCTAAACAATACAGTATCTTGTATTAAGTATTATGTAACCTAGGAAAGATGTAAAGTTTACAAGAGAATGTGCGTGGTTTATATGTAAACACCACTGCCATTTTAAGAGGTCTTGAGCACTTGAAGATTTTGAAATGGGGGTCCTGTAACCAATCAGTCCTCCACAGATAGGGAGGAGAGACGACTACACTTATAAATAACATGATGTTTTATGTGCTGGATATTGATGTCCAATTTCATTTTATTTTTAAAAATTTCCATTTTTATTAAACACAGAATTCTAATTAGGTAATTCTAATATAATATTTCTGAACATGACCTACCATATTTTACATATCCTTAGACTACTAATATAAATTTAGATAATTTTCAGTTTTTCCCTTATATGAAATGGTGAAGAGCAATTGGCTGCTAGCTGATTTCTCTATGCCATTAAATTATGTTTCCATACCTATACTATTATTGTACTATTTCCAGTGCTATAGTATTACCATAATTTTACTATAAAGGGGATTACGTGCCATGTGTTATTTTCTTCTTCAACATCATTCTCTTCATTCTTGAACACCAACTCTTTCAGAACTTTTCCAATTTCCAGAAAAAAATCCTTTTGAGACATTGAGTAACAGGCATTTGAGACTAGGTCATAAGCTGACAACTTAGAACTCTGCTCTTTATGGATGTTGCAAATTCAGTGCTGACCCACCAGTTAGTTTGTCCCAGTTTAAAGCTATTAGCCATTACTGCTTTTTTCAACTCCCTAATCAAGCAACAAGTTTCTGAACAGAGTATTACTAGTGGCCCTAGGCGGTTTTTGGTGTTTATTACAATTGGAGGCTCTTTTCCTAACTCCCAAATTTATGGCATCAAGCCTGGCTTGTATTTGCATAGGAGTTGAACTTCTAATCACTTCATTTCAGTTCCTACTTATACCATGCATATGGATTCAAGTTTTAGTATATAGTACTCTTCACCATGTTTTTCAAATAGATGTTATTTTATTTTTTAAGTTTTATATTTTATCTAAAAATGGTATATATTTGAGCAGACAGAAAAAAGTGGGCAGACATCACCTTACTAGAAAAAAGTCAATTTTATTTAATTGCCCGAATTGTTATTTTAAGCATATGTATTTGCCTTTATTTGGGAGGAGTGTTTGACTGTTAGTTTCATTGTAATAGGAAGGATGTGAAATCTTTTCAGAGCTACATAATTGTGATAATATTCTGGAGGATAGGACTTGGAGAATGTAGGTAGTATGTTTCAAGAGGACAATTTGTATTATTTCTCCAGGAGTCTGGCTATCAGAGGAGCTTGAAGGAATTGTTGATCAAAGGTCAATAGTGGAATGTTAAGTAGACCGGATGATTTTCCTTAGTGTAAAAGCAGATTACAGTTAGAATAGGGTATTCATTTACTAATATTATTTATTGACCATATAGTTTGTGCCAGATTCAGGGATAGTGTTAAGGCTTGTAGGGAGATAAAATGAGATCCCAAACCTCAAGATACTTATAGTATCCAGTTATTGATTATGAGATTATTTTCTAAGTACGTCATGATTTTAAGATGTCCACTAGGGAGCTTTCCTGTATACAATAATTCAGGAATCTGTTTCTTTTTTATGTGCTTGATGCTGCCATCCTAAACAAATGATCACTGATGTCACCATGAAAGAAGCAGAAAAGACCAGAGAATTGTGCTATTTATCTTTTGAGGGCCACATATGAGAATAGCATATATTGTTTTTGTTCATATACCATTGTCAATCACATGGCCCCAAGAGAAACAGGAAAATATAGCCCTCTAGGATGTTCAGGAATTATACTTGTGACTCTCCAGTTTTATTTTCTGTATATAATCCTGAAATAACAACTATTGGTATAGCAGAAAATAAGATATGTGGAGATAGAAATATCAAGAATCTATTTTTAAGATTGGAAGAATTCAGTTTGTCATTCTTATTAAATTCACTCAATCCAAATACAAATTTTTATGTCATTCAATAGTGTGAATTTTGAGAGGACATCTGAAGATATATTTATCCAATGTAGTCCAATCCTGAATTTTCACTTAAAAATTATCATAATTTTTTCCAGAACTATCTACTGTGTTGAAAGACCTAAGAGTCTAAATAATTGACTAATGCTTCCTATTCTCCAAAAAACAATAAATGCAAGACTATAAATTTTCTACTGCTGCATAATGAATTACCACAAATTTAGAGGCTTAAAACAACACCCATATATTAGCTAAATCTAAAGTTTAGGAACACTTGTCTGGGTTTATATTCAGGGTACATAACAAATCAGAAATTGAGGTTGTCTGTGCTCCTTCTGGAAGCTCTGGGAAAGGATCCATTCCGGGATCATTAAATTTGTTGGAATAATCCAGTTCTTTATGGTTTAAGGTTCCTGGTTCCTTTATGGCTGTCAGGGGTGGGAGTTCATTCTCTTTCCCATCAGACTGCCCATATTCCTTTTCATATGGCAGTCTCCAGCCTCAAAGCTGGCAATAGCATACTGAACCCTTTTCACACTTCAAATCTTTCTGCCTTTCCTCCCTCTTTTGTCTGTAAGGACTTATATAATCAGGTCAGAGTCACACAGACAATTTCTGTATTAAAGACAACTGGGCCAAATAGCATAGCATAATCATAGAAATGATATCTTATCATATTAACAGATCACAGGGATTAAGGTGGCACATAACTATGGTGACGTGGTTTATAGTTCTGCTTATTTAGGAAAGGTGATGAAGAAAATTCATGAAAGAAGGTAATGTTTATGACACAAAATAATTACACTGAAATACAATTATTTGGTTAATGTGGAGGTGATTCTTTTCTAGTAAGCATCAAAAACCAGTGTCTTGATTTGCTTCAATTCTTTGCACTGAACTGTCATTTTATTTATATGGAAACTTCACTTTATTTCATGATTAACTACTCTCATCACAAGTAGTGGAATATAGTATTTTCTCAGTAGGAGATAAGTGTAACACTTGAGTCTACTTGGATATTTCCTCCTGTGCTGTCAGGGCTTGTATAAGAAACAGAGACTTATAGGTAACTGCAAAACTACAAAGGCCATATGTTGTCTTTTGTATACAAGAATTACAGGACAGGGAATCATTTCTGAACATATAAGACCCCCTATATTAAACATACCAGTGAATTACAATTAAAAACCATTCTCTTTTTAAATTTTAAACATGGGATTATGAAGATCAAGAAATATGTAAGCTGAATTCTCATTCCTAATCATTAGATTAAGGTTTATATATATGAAAATATATACAATAATGGTGTCCAGGCATTTTACTATAAGCTAAAGTATTATGGTCTAGTTTTTACCAGAATAATTTCAAAAACCATCAAAATATCTGTAAATACAATAGATGATTTTTTCTATTTTTAATATATAAAATTATGAAACTTGTCATACCTTAAATTTACAGATGATATCCCACAAAAAGCAGAAACTAGCTCTAGATTAGTTGTCAATTTTATGTACTCTCCACGATCATTTCTTGACATGTACATCATTCACTTTGTGTCAGGTCTTCTCACACTTAGCTGTAGTATAAATAAAAACACAAAATTATTTTAACAGCAATTTAAAATAATCCTAATTAGCTTTGAAATTATTTAATACTACTAAAAAGTATAAGGCTTACATGCATAAAGTAGTGAATAGGTACTAAGACTTAGGTATTCAAGTGAGTTTTCAAATAATTATCTCTTTATGATGTCAATATGTTAATTTTTATTTCTCTCATAATTGAATAACATATTTTTGTTAAATTGCAATTAAGTAAAAATATTTTTGCAGCATAGCCATTCAATGGTTATTTATTTATACCCAGTTAAATAGTGTTTTTTAAATTTTATTTATTTATTTTTGCTGTTAGGAGTGGTGAATGTCATCCACTAAGTCCAAAAGGTATTTATTTGCATTGAACATTTTAAGTAGCAGTAATTCTTTTTCTATTGAGAATTTGACTTTTTTGTTTAGTTTGGTGTTAATCCTCATTTCTAAGGTAGTTGAAATTATTTTCTTGGTTTTAATATATTGTATTAATATCATGTTGTCCAAAACAACTTTCACATCATTTCTCTTCCCTCTTTGTATAAAATCCATATAACTGTCTAACTCATGTTCCTTGGCAAAGCCAAGCACTGCTTCCTTTTTTGCCTCTATATATTCCCAAAATTATTAGTTGCATTATCTTGGATAAATTAGCAATTGTAAGCTTCATTTTACTAATTGTATCTACCACACATAGTTTTTGTTTTCTGCACTGAGTCTTTTTTTCAGCACTTAAAATTATTATGAATGTTAATAAAGAATTCTCATGTTCAAACCTGCACTTAGAAACTACTTATATTTTTTTGTAGAAAGTGCATCTGAGTTTTTTTTAACATCAGACTTAAAAATAAGTATATTTTTTACAATATTTTAATAAGTAAAATAATTTCTTCAGTGGTTCTATATCATATTAAATATCAGCACCTTTTGAAAGTAACTTTTATAAAGTTAAGAAACTTCCATTATTTATCTAAAACTCATTACTTTAGCTCTAAGGTTCTATGTGCACAGCAAGAAAGTCAATTAGCTCCACAAAGAAACCACTACCTGTCCTTATTAAAGAATAAGTAGTCTTTGCAAAAGAAAAATATGAGCTATAGTGCTCCTCCATTTAACATGAATAGGAAACCATGGAGGCAAAATGAAATAGTGGAAAAGGTAAATCCTCAGGGAAAATAATAACTTCACTCTATAAAAAAATATAATTAAAGTCCTGGTTATTTTTTTGATCTCAACAGTTGATTCTCTCAATCTCTTATTTATCAAGTTTTACTGTGAAACTTTCTTTGGATTCTTAACTTTCAACTTGATCCTAGTAGAAGATAATATTGTCAGATTTAAAGAAAATATTCATCATTATACAATTTTATTCAACCTCTGAGAAATACATAAATGAAGGAAAGAGTTTATAATTCACCTAATATGTATTTAATTCTCTCAGATTTTCAATAATACATATTGAAATGAGCCACTTTAATAATCCATGTATGAAGTTATCAACCTTTGCATACTGAGGATATTTTTCTAGAATGCCACAGAAAGACTTTCCTTCTCAGTGGTCACATCTAAATAGCTATAGGATGCAAAAAAAAGAACATTCTATCACAATAGCTGTGGTAATTTTCCACTGTTTTTTATGTGGTAGAAGTACCAGTGAAACTCAATATTCTTCTGTAACACATCTCTCCACTTAGATACCAACAAGTAATATTCTGATCATTTCATATTTCATAAATAAAAAGAAGTTGGAGCCTCCTTTTCCATTCCTCAGGGAGACCAATTTCTTAAAAACAAAACATATGAAGTTAGGTCTAGAATTTCTACTCACACCTCACTTTAAGCCAACATTTAATATCCCTTGGTGTCTTGAAATAAAATGAAGAAACACGTTTCCTCCAACATAGCTCAACAAACATTCTGATTTAATTTCCTCTCTGGAAACAGGCAAATAATAGTAAAAGGAACAACTGATATATGAAAAAAAGAGAAACCTCACCCATTTTTAATTAAACAAGAAAATATTGACAATACCAGATACCAAATTGGGAAATGATACTGGACAAAAGAGCAAAGCTGAAAACTATGAAATTTAAACTTGAAGTAAATGAAGATGACAAGGGATACAGAGATACATTCTTAATAATAGAGGTACTAGTTCTGAAAAATTTACCTGGTGACATTGTTATTTAAAATGATAAGATACATGGGCACCAGGAGAAGCGGTCAGTGTCCATTTAAGGATCCAGCTGCCTGTGAACAGGCCAGTAGATCTATCAAAGAAACCACTTTCCCTTATCATTGTACGATCTACCACTGACATGCTGCTACTGGAGACCATTAGAAGTACAATGAGTGCAGGAGAGGAGGGCGAAAGCAGCCTATCGTAACAGAGGCACCTCCATAGAGAGGGGGGTCCCACTGTTACAGGGCAGAGAGAGGGGCAGCCCAGACCCCGCAAACCTGCCTGCTCTAAATAGGTTCTGCCATCCACCGCATCAACACAAAAACAAATGAGACTTTAATGAAAAAGGAACTTTAATACAATTAGGAAACAATACAGGAAAGGCAAAGAATATAGTTTCTAAATCAAGCACCAAAGTTACCCGTCCCCTCATGGGTAAAAGTCCACCCAAGCAGGATTGGCCCAGAGCAAGGCATCAAAGCCTGGCACAAGTCCAAAGCACCTTTCTGTGGGAACCCACAGAAAGGGATCAGGGAGAACCACACAAGTCTGGAAGGAAAAGAGCAAAATCAAAATCAAGACAAAAACCGCAATTGTCACCTCCCCACTGGTCTCTCACCCACATCTGTGTCACCCAGTCCACGACCAAAAGGCAAGCGTATTTCTTCATGTGTCTCTCGGCTCCATGTGCCTCCTTCTGGCTCTCCACCCTGCTTCCTTCCTTCCTCAGTCTCCTCTGCAGCTTCTTCTCTCTCTGCTCAGCTCCACCCTTCTTTTGAGTGGGGCAGGAAACCTGGAACCTCCCCTTTCCTGGGGACCACCCTGTTATACCATGTTCCCGACCCCTCCCAGTGAGGGACTAAGCTGAGTGGCCAGGTGAAGCTATTCAGCACTAAGTTGTGGGAGTTCAAGAGAGAACACTGAGACTCACAGAAGGAGAGAAACATTGAGAAAGGTGAGCTTATTCTTGACATTGGGCTTGCACTAGGGACTTGGAGGACATGGAAGAGACACATGGGTGGGAAGCACATGGGGAGGCTGACAATGACAGCTTTTGTTTTGAATTTAAATATGCTCTTTTCATTCCAGACTTGCCTGGCTCCTTCTGCCCTTTTCCTAGGTTCCCCACCAGAAGGTGCCTAAGTCTTGTGGCAAGCTTTTGGGCCTCAGTGGACCAAATCTATTTGATTGGGCATTTATTCACAAGGAGATGGGTCATTTTGTGTGTTTTCACTGGTAAACTATCCCAATATCTTTTCTTCTCTTCTTTCTTTACATGCACTGATCTTATTAAAGTTCTTTCAGTCCAAGTATATATGCTTTGTCTTTGAGCACATGGATTGCCAGAGTCCATTAGAGTGCATGAGTTTGGGGGTTCCAGGGCATACCTCTGGCTGTTGGTTAAGAGAAAGGAATTCAATGTAGGGCAGGTGGATCACCAAACAACTAGTTACATATTCTAAGCACTACATTCCAGCCTTGACTGTGTCAAATAGTCTTGACCCTTTATTTTCCAGTGAACAGTTCAGTTTATGTTCTTTACCCACAAGTCATTGTGCCTTAACTGTATTCCCCTATAGGGCTTAATGTTATCACCATACTCCCCCATCATCAAAGCCTGAGGACTCCGGGTTATCTTTGACTCTGTTTTCTCTCTTGTTCCTTAAAGTTAATCACCCATTAAATGCTATTACTATCTGCCTCTATGTCCTTCCTCTGTTTCTTCCTTTTCTTTCCCATAGCACTTAATTATTCCTTAGTCTATATCTATAAGCTTCTTGCCTCCATTATCTCCTCTACGTAATCCATTCTGCATAGTGACACTCAATTTGAATTCCTAAAACATTGTTGCAATATGTTACTCTCCCTCTCATGAACTTCTCACTGACTATCAAAAGATCGATCTTTTGAAGCTTTCAGACCATCTATACTCACATTTGTTTAGACTTTCATCTAGGAGAGATCTTTGTATTTTAAACTTTCAGGTCTTTTTTTTTTCCTTCTTGTTTAATGTTTAAGATTTCTTTGTGAAGTCCTCTTCAAATGTTTGCATTGATATTTTTTGAATTCCTTTAGCATATTTTGATTGATGCTGGCCCATTCTGCAACTAGTAGATTTCATTCTTTAAAAAAGAAAAATATTTATTAAGGGTCTACCCTAGTTAATACCATACAAAGAATAAACGAGAATAAAATACCAGAGCTTCCTTTAGGAAATCACTTTTTGCTATGTAAGTATGTGTTGAACAGGCAAATAATCTAGTCACTAACATCAAATGTGTTCTGTGTTTTCAAGTATTTTTTTAAAGATTTATTTATTTATGCACACAAGAGCTGGGGTACAGGCCAGAGGCGCGGGAGGGTGAGAGGATTCACCAGAGACAGAGTGGGGAACGGAACAGGCAGACAGACTGAAATACACTGTTGAGGGGAAGAGCGGGCGAGACAGGAGAGGTCTGCCTCCGCATGTGGGTTTCTCCCTGGCTGGCCGGGGATCAAACTCTTGCTGCAGAGGCTGCGGATTGCTTCATAGGGTGGTGCTTAACCCCTTGCACCACCAGGGAGGCCCTGTTTTTTCAAATATTTATATCTACATTTGTATCTAGATAAATGTGTATCAAAATGCACTTTAAGTCTATTAGAAGCAGGAAGTACACATAATCACATTTAATTTTGTTTAAATTATATTTACTGAGGTAAAGCTGATTTATACCTCTAGATATGTTTTGGGAGTATAGACTCACATCTCTAGAGATGTGTTACTACACCATGCCCATCAAAGAATTGCCAATAATCTTCCTCCACAGTTCATTGAGCTCCTTCACCTATTTACTCCTCTTCTGGTAGCGTCAGTTCTGCAGAAGAGCTAAATAAACATTCTCCAAGGAACAAAGACAGATGGCCAACAGGCAAATGAGAAATTGTTCATCATCTCTCGTCATCAAGGAAATGAAAAATCACAATAAGATACCACCTCATACTAATGAGAATGGCCCATATTAAAACAAACAAATAAGGGCCTCCCTGGTGGCGCAAGGGGTTAAGCACAGCATTACGAAGCAATCCACAGCCTCTGCAGCGCGAGTTCGATCCTCGGCTGGCAGGGAGCAACCCACATGGTGCAGCAGACCTTTCCTGTCTTGTCCGCTTCTCCTTTCAGCAGTATATTTCAGTCAGTCTGCCTGTTCTGTTCCCTACTCTGTCTCTGGTGAATCCTCTCACCCCCCACATCTCTGGCCTGTACCCCAGCTCTTGTATGCAAAAACAAATAAATCTTAAAAAACAAATAAATAAAAAGCCAGAAACAAGTGCTTACAAGTGCTTCTACAAGTATGTAGAAAAAAGAACTCTCTTACACTGTTGGTGGGAATATAGACTAATCCAGCACCTATGGAAAATAGTATGGAGGTTTCTCAAAATACTGAAAATAGATCTACATTATAATCCATCAGCTTCTTCAGAACTCCAGAGGTGCAACTGATCAGCAAGCAGTACTTACGTAATCTAGCAACTCTGCTTCTAGGTATCTATTTCAAGACTACAAAAACACTATCAAGGATATATGTACTTCAGTGTTCACTGCAGTACTATTTATAATAGCCATGTTATGAAACAATCTCAGTGCCCATGGACAGAGGAGAAGACTAAGAAGATGTGTTATATATGAACAATGGAGTACTACTCCATTATAAAAAAAAATTATAAAAGTTTATATATATATATAAACTTTTAATATATATAAACTTTATATATATAAACTTTATATATATATATAAACAAAGGACCAGATAAAAAGAAACAAAAACAAACCTTTGAAAAATAAAACCCTTGTTGTGGTAGATGATGATGACGACGATAATGTTGATGGTGATGACAGCAGTGATGGTGATAATGACCTATTTCAGACTAATTTTATAAATGAATATTTGCAGTTATGAAGATCTGTGCCAGCCGACTTAACTGAACTATAGCAAAAAAGCAAAAGGGCACAGTGTCAGTGCTTTTGTTTTTGAGATATTTAATATAAAGAAATCTCTATTTGGATCTTCTGTTTAATTTACTTTTAATTGAGCAGCACAAGAGTTGGGAGATGAGAGAGGAAAAGAAGGTGAGGGGAAGGAAGAGGATGAGAGAGAGGGTGGTTGTCTAGGATGACTTCTATACCTTCCTCTGTCTCTATCAAATGCATTCCTAGTCATCTTTTTCAGTCTACCTTGTGAGCTTGGGGAGATTTCCCCTAGGAGGTGAATATGAAGTTTAGTTAGTATAGAAGCAAGCTCAGGCTGTCACTGGTGCGTGTCAACTCCACCAGGTCAGTCAAGGCAAAATTCATTCCACTGGGCTCTGAGCTATTTTGAGGATGATTATGCCAGACTCAGAAAGCTGAGGAGACTCAGGTTGGGTTCTAGGACACCTTCATTTAACTGAAACCCACAGGTCTTAAACATGGACTAAAGTCAGAATGTTATTAGGACAGATGTGAGACAAAGATATTGCAAAGAACAATATAAGTCAGAAGGAACTGGATTTGGCTTCTAGTTGACAGAGAAACAGAAATGAGTTCAAGTTGGTCAACAGCAAGAAAATAAAAATTGACTTCCACTCAAACTGGCATATTATTAAATTATTCTCTTTCCAAGTCTGTTAGTAGTTAAGAGGATTACCTGGGGGTGGTGAAATAAAAGTGGCATTAAAAAAAATTAGTCAAATTTTAAAGGGTCCCCGGCAAGAATAAAATGAAGGGGGGTGGGGGTGGGCATTGTGCTTTTAAATCAAATGGACAATCAATCAATGCTGTCAAATCCAACCTAATAACAGCCACTATTCCCTGAGAAGAATGTCAAGAAAATGGAAGTTCTTGTCACTTTCATGTTTGAAATTTGGGGTTTTCCTTTAATGCCTAGATTCTGAGTTGCTCTCAAAATAAGTAAAGGGAGTTGGAATAATAGCACAATTCTATGTTCTGGGAATCACTTGGCTCCCCTGCAGAAATCAGAAACCATCCTAGCATATGAACCAGCACATTTGCAATGGGTGGACTGTGCCAGTACAATCCAATAGCACAAAGGTTTCAAAGTCGAATTACTGTAAAAGAACCTCTCTATAAAATTGCTGCACAGCTGCAGTGAGAGTAGAGATTTGATTTAGGGAAGACACAAAGAATTATATTTATTTCCATAACAATCCAATAAGCATATCTTGAGAGTCTAATACATTCCAGGGGCCGCCGTAGAGGCTGAGGATACCACAATATGGAGGGCAGGTCTAGTGCAAATGGAGGGTGGTAAGTCAGGCAGATACACAATTCCAGGGTTTAACAGGTAGCCTCACCTGCAGAGACACTGCAGGTGTCTCTCAAAGGTGCTCACAGGCTGCAGATGGTTCTGGTTATACCTAAATGTTCAATTGGCTTCTGTGTAAGCAGAGTTAGAATTGATAATTTTTTGAGAAACCCTGGAAAACCTAAACTGAATCTGAACTCTAGGAACCTCCTGAAACGGATTACAACTTCCAGGTTAGACCCATTAACTGATACAGGATCAAGACTTGATTTAAATTACAAATTTACATAGACTCAGAATATCCATTTATCCCATCTCAAATCTCCTGGAAGAGCTATTTAACTTGAGGGTAACTGACAACAATTTTTCAATTTTATTGTATCTTGTAGGTTTTTCATTTTTTTTTGGTTCAAGGGTGACAGGGTACTGTATTGAAATACTAACTTGGGTTATTTTCCTCAGTGTTCTTTATTCTTCCCCTAATTTATTCTATCTCCAGCCAGATATCAGGTAGCCTTTGTGTATTCATTGGGGAAATGATGTGGTCTAAGAAAAAAATATGGCAAAAAGACACCTCTTACTTTCGTTTGAATTGCTAAATGTATTGTTATAAGCCATAAGGAGATAATGTGAGTAAGAATCACCCCACCCACTTATAAATGGAAAAATAGTCTGCAACATGGTAAAATAAAACCGAGCAAAGGCATCAGTGAGCCCCACAAGGAGGAATCACGTACCTTGTTCATAGTGCTGAGCTCCTGAGCTCAGAGGGGGCTAGCACTCAAGAGCTGAGGACACCTGCACCTGTTTGCATGATGGAGTCCCAAGTGACAGCAAACCTCAGGAACAAAATAGCTACATGGTAATCTGGGCAGAGACTCACAGCAATTGTTTCAATCACATTATATGCTGAACTTCATCATCATAGTTTTTTTTTTAAAGATTTATTTATTCATGTATACAAGAACTGGGGTACAGTCCAGATGTATGGGAGGGTGAGAAGATTCACCAGAGACAGAGTGGGGAACAGAACAGGCATACTGGCTGAAATACACTGCTGAGGGGAGCAGCGGGCGAGACAGGAGAGGTCTGCCACGCCATGTGGGTATCTCCGTGGCTGGCGGGGATCTAACCTGCACTGCAGAGGCTGTGGACAGCTTCACAGTGCTGTGCTCAACCCCCTGCATCACCAGGGAGGACCATCATCATAGTATTATTTTAAAATTGATGTGTGTAGTCAATTTTTTTTATATAGTTGTATGTCACTTGGTATGTATCATGACTGTCACAGGGGGAAAAACAATTGGTGGAAAATAGACATAACTCATTAATGGTTTTCTAAACTGCAACTTTGTAGTCATCTTGGTATATAATCTCTCTTCAATATAACTAACACAAATACAAAGTTGCTTTTGGAACTAAAATTTTAAAATGTTCCCTAGGGTAAAATAAATGGGAAGCTCACCCTACCTTGACCATGAACTTACTTTCCAGTCAACACGCGATAGACAAAGTCAGAGACCTCCTCCTTTGGTGTGAGGCTAATTGTGTCTATCATGACCATTCCAAACATAATCAGATAATTACCTTGCAGCAAAATGATACAGCCAAGAAATCGCCCATAGCCTGTCAATTCAATTCAATACAGTTGTATACCCTGAAAATCTCAAGAAACAGTTACTGAGTATTCACCCTGTCCAGGTGTGCTGGTGATAAGAGAATGAGTAAGTCATCAAGCATGAGTTTTGCCTACCATGTCCTGTAAAGCTTCAATTTGAGGGGGAAATAGATCACTCTCTGGGCTAGAACATGGACAGTGTCTACTGAGATTGCAAAAAAAGAGTGGGTCTATTTCTGAGTTTCAGTGATGACCTCTCAGATTGTATGCTAAGAGGAGGGAATAGTTTGGTTTCCTTCTAGGCAGACCAGTAGGAGTTTGTATAGAAGTAAGTTAGGATGAAAAAAGAAAAATTTTGAAAAAATTGTCAAATTTGAAAGGCAAATTTCCTGTGGATAATTTGTTTTGTGTGTAAACAGAAGTTGTCTTCTGTTTAATATGATCTTACAAAAGAAACTGATTGTGTGAGCTCTTCTCTAACAATTATCATTTATAAGGATCTGCCTCACTGTAGTGGGTATGTCATAGTTTTTATCAGCTTCTTTTTTATCCACTTTCTCTCAATCCATTCATACTCCCAGAGGACACCGACATATACTAGGTTCCAAACTACAGATTTCAAAGGGCATCCCAGTGGTTGTGAGGAGAAAAAAAATATTTCAAGAATAGACAAATCAGAAAAACTAGATTTCCTCTCCCCTCCAAGACTTCAAAATACAAATTAGATGAGGAAGAAAGGAGAAAAACAAAAAGTTGTTGATTTTGAATGTAAGAGAATCAGTCAATTCCCCTATTCACTCACATGAAGGTTTATTTATGAAGTTGGGAAGACTGGAGGAACCAGGTAGACACGCAGATACACACACACACACACACACACACACACACACACCCAACCCCACAGGGAAGTTTCTGATGCAAAAAAAGATTGGGGAAGAATGTAGTAATGCCTATCATCCCTGGAATAATTGATGTAAAATCCCTACACATACCACAATCTGTCAGTCAATATGTAGTACCACTCAACTAGGACTTTTAAATGTCCTGTTTGATTTTTAGGTCCTCCAGACCTAAATGTGAAATGCTCTATAATTTTTGCTGTCTACAGACATACTTAAAAAAAAGTGCTGTGATTCAGAGGTTGCTGCCTATATTTGATGCTTTCCTATGCATTTCTCATTTTTTATGCTTTTCCTATTATTATTCTCACATTTAATTCAATAGACCCATTAGAGGTTTTCACATTCTTAGTCAATGATTTTTTAATTATTATTTAAAATATCACACATACTCATAGTATTTAAATTGAAAAAATATAGAAAATTACAAATAATATAGAAAAAAATCAACCATATCCCTTAACAACCATGTTGTATTTTATTTATTTTCTAAGTTGATACATGATGTTTGTCTCTCAAAATTTAGTATAAAACAGTATAAAAATGTTACATTGCATTCCTTAAAGTGTTTTTAATTAATATTAAAATATTTCAAAAGTTTGATTTAGAAATGGGTTATTATTTTATTTAATCATGTGTTTTTGGATGTTTAAGTCATTTTCAGGATTTATATATCTTATAATGGTATTATCATGAATATTCCTGCACATAAGTCTTTCTGAATTTTTGATGTTTTATTTATGGCAGGTTTCAAGAAGTAGATTACTAGATTAATAGGTATATATATCAAGCCATCCTCCCTCAAGCAAAGTTTGAGACAGTCTTTTTTATGAATTATAGAAATCATTTATTTATTTATTTTACCTGTTTTAGGGAAAATATATTTCTTTTTAAGCCCCTTTACCCATTTATTCCCACAAAAAAATCCAATCCCATTTCTGGCAACTGCCAGAAATATATCTGTGAGTCTGTTTTGTTGTTGCTGTTGTTTCTGTTTTTAGAGACTATGTGAAAGAGAGATCTTAAGGCACTTGAATAATAAACTTAAGGTGCTGAATAATAATCGTGTGTGTGTGTGTACATCTTTATTAATTCATCCACTGCAGGACACTTAGGATGTTTCTATTCCTGGACTATTGTAAATAATTTAATGAATTGGGAGGTGCTCTACCTTTTCATTAGTGTTTTCATTTTCTTTGGACAAAGAGCCAAGAGCAGAATTTTGAGGTCATATGTTAGTTCCATTTTTAATTTACTGAGGAATTGCCATACTCTTCTCCATACATGCTGTACCAATTTACATTTCCACCAATAGTGTATAAGGGTTCCCTTTTCTCCACATCATCACCAACACATTTTTTGATCATTCCTTTTTATAATCGTCATGCTAACATGTGTGCAACAATTTCTCATTGGTTTTCATGCAAAGAAATCATCTATTTTTTAAATGAAAGTTTTAATCTTAGCCCTTTGAGGACTATGGTAATGGGAAATTTTAAAGTTTAAAGGCCACATGTATTTCTTGTGTATACATATTTTCTGAATGAATTTTCTTATCATTTATAAAGCATAATAGCCTATCATCATTTGTGTGATGTGCTAATTCATGTAGGTCACCCACCCCAATCTATCAATCATTTTTATGATTAACTTTGGAGCTTACCATATCTTAAAAGTTAGCCTTCGTGTATGCTGGTGTGATTATTCTCCTCCAGCTTACTTAGAATCCTGGTGAAAGTAGTGGACTCTGGAATCAGACAGACATTCTTCAAATCCTAACTCATCACTTTGTAAATATGTGACCTATTAAAAAAAAATCCAGAGATAAATTTAGAATCTAACTGGCCTCATTAAATGAATCTGTTCCCATCTAGCAAACAGGTAGGCTCTGCAAATGGTTGTACAAAATGCAAAGTTTTTATAGTTGGGCATTAAGGACTCCATTTTGGGGTTGGTTGTTTCTTTTTTTAACACAGGAAGTGTTCATTAAAGTATTCAGTAAATGTTGCCTATTATTATTATTATTATTATTATCATCATAACCTCCAACTTTACTATTGAAGAGGGACTTAACAGAGGCTATTAAGGTTAAATGAAGTCATAAGTTTAAGACTCTAATCCAATATCCAATGACTGATATCTTTATAGGAGAGAGAAAGATAGCAGAGACATGCTTGCATAGAAAACAGGCTATTTGAGGACATGGTGTGAAGGCCAACTTCTGCAAGCCAAAGAGAGACACTGCCGAAAAAAATCAATCCTGCTGACAGCTTCATCTTGAATTTGCATTCTCTGGAACTTTGAGATATACATTTTGGTTGTTTAAGCCACCCAGTCTGTGGTTTTTGTTACAGCAGCCCTAGCAGACTAAATTATGTGGTTTCACTCAAATAGGTGAAAATTGTCTTCTACACACACACACACCCCCACCCACCCCCACCCCATTATACATTATATAATTTTGTATATTTCACATCAATTTCATCATTGGCTCCCATCTTTTATCTTCAATGGTTAGTTTCCTGTCTCTGTAAGCTTCCTCAGCCTCCCCAGAATGTTTGACATATTTAAGCACTCTTTTTGTTGAAACCTTTTTCATGTTTGCTTTTTTTTGAAATTTCACTCTTTTCAATTCTGGTGATTATTCCTTTTAAGCTATTGTTGTTAGCTCCTACTCCTCTTTCTCTATCAAACTGATATCTGGAAAAATCACAGGAAAAATCACCAAAACTGATAATGGGTGAAACTGTTAAGTGGTATAATAGCTGTTGCCTATTCTAGGGCTGTGTGCCATTCACATGCATAAAGGTAAACTAATAAAACTCTAGTGTGCATGAAGATTTTTTTTTTTTAAAGATTTATTTATTTTTACAAACACTGGGTACAGTCAGAAGCGGGGGAGGGTGAGAGAATTCACAAGAGCCAGAGCAGACAGAAGGACCGAAGTACACTGCTGAGGAGAGCAGCGGGCGGCAGGAGAGGTCTGCGCGCCATGTGGGACCCTCCTCCGGTGGCCGGGGTGCAGCCGGGGATCGAACCGGCGCTGCAGAGGCTGCGGGCAGCTTTGCAACCCAGCGCTCAACCACTGCGCCACCAGGGAGGCCCTGCATGAAGATTTTTAACTGGTGAAAGATTCAAAGGGAAGAGAAAAAGAGGAGAGAGGGAGAGAGACAGAGAGAGAGAGAGAGAGAGAGAGAGAGAGAGAGAGAGAGAGAGAGAGAGAGAGAGAGATCAGGAAGAGAGGGTTTATAAATAGACTCCTTATCAAACTTATCACTCATGCTCATTTGGGCAAACACCCAGCCAAATAGGCCCCAGAGGGGGAAAAAAAAAAACAAAAACAAAAAACCAAGGCTCAAAAGAAAAAGCTTCCAGGATAATGAATCCAAAGCATTTCCCATAAGGATATACAAGGAAGGGGTTGAGCAAGGCCAAGGGGGCTGGGAGAGAAGGCAGTCAAAATGTACCACCAAAGCTGAATCCAGCAAAGGGTTAAGATGGTGGCTGCAACAGTCCCTGAAAAGAGCCAGATCCAAAAACTGAAAGGCACAAACAGCAAAGAGTAGAAGACTGCTTGCCCACATGTTTTCCATTCCTTCTCCTATTCAGCAATGACCTGCCACTCTTTCTTCCGTCTGAGCAGCACCCTTTTTAGGAAGTCTGTATCATAGCACGCTAGGAGTTGTAGTCAGATTTTAAAGGTGCATAAATATTAAATGTTAAACACAGACTCAAGTCACACTTTAATCCTAGTTCCTATTATCCACTCCCTTTCTTTTTTTTTTTCCTACATAACCCAATGCTATTCTATAGCTAAAAGTAGCATCTATTTGTTGCTACTTTACATCTTTAGCTCTAACTTCTTCCCCTGAACAACAGGCTCATTTAGTAAACTGCATAATTTGTATCACCATTTCTATAATGTAGTTGAAGATTCTTTCTAAAACATATTGATTTTATTTTCTGAGATGTTTGAAATGAGTATTTTTGGGTATGTTTAATCTTTCTTTCAGACCTGGAAGTCATTTGATTTGCTAAGAATAGAATAATGATAACTAAGATTTCAAGACAGATTTTCTATAGGCACCCCAGAGTCCTAGGTCATGTGCTTAAATTGTCTTAGGACATATTTATACAAGCCTTCCATAGAATAACCTGTGAAGTGTTATTTAACTATCTCTAATTTCATTTCTTTGAGGAGCAAATACAATAGAACTGAAACAGCAATGCAACATAATAGAAAATTACAAATTTTAGATAACATTAGTGAAGAGTATATTAATCATTCTAAATTTTATTCATTTAACACAAGTTGTTATTAGTGCATTATCTCTAGGTATTGAAAAAATTCAAAGAATTATTTTCAGGTTGCTTCATTATTTTCCATGTTGTTTCAACTCTTTTAAAAATGCATGAGGATGTATATGTCAACAAAGTTTAAAAATGTAACATAATTCATTTTAAAAAATGAATAAAAAAGCATATGTTAAATTAATGTGTATCTTTTCATACAGAAGAATAAGTGTAAGGCCGATTAGCACTTGCAGCAAAACGCATTGATCAAGACAGGATATACCCTTATGTCTTTATTTATGTGATCATTCTTACAAGTAAATTGTACAGATTATCATGGCTACTTTATACAATAATATCACATAACTATTACTTATACCACTAAAATGAATTTAACTGACAGATGAAACAGCAGCAAAAAGCTCTTGAGATTTCCAGATAAATAATTTACCAAAATGACTATATATTTATTCCATGGACTTTAATGGTATTTTTCCTGTTTAGAATATACATAATAAATATGTGCAGTTAGTTTACCCAAATGTGTACATGAATCTCGGAACAATATTTTAAAAATATAATCAGAAAATCACCCAATATATACTTATCCCATCTCAAATAGTTGTTTCAGCACATTTCTCCCTTTCAGATTTCTTACCGCAATAATGTAGAGTGAAAAGCTCTACAAAACTGTTTTCATATATAAAAACTGTGCAATCTCAATATAAAGAGCTACATTATGCAAATGAAATATTAATATACTAGAAACTATGAAAGGCTAGAGATTTTAATTTTTTGAAAAATCTCCTTTCTACTAACCCAAATGCCTATCCCCAGAGATAGTTCAAGCATATTCAAAATGAACCATTTCATTTTTGGATATAGGGAGTTTGACCAAAACTTCAAGCAATTCACATTTTTTTTATGTTGGTCAATATATGACATCTTGGTTCATAGTATGAAAAATACATGTATGTGTTGTATTTAATCACATTGTATCTGGACTTTCACTTCTATAATAACCACTTACAACTCCTTTAAGCAAATTAAACTTCTTCAATTGATTCCAAAGAGCCAAAAAACAACCCAACAAACCTAACTTCCTTTTTCAAGCTACTGATTTCTTCTTCTCTAACCTTAATATTCCAAACTATGTACTGTCATACTGAATTATGTATTTTCAATTATAGTAAGTTGCCTCCCAATTTAGAATTCTCAATATTCTTTATTTTTTTTAAAGATTTATTTATTTACACAAGAACCGGGGTACAGGCCAGATGTGCCGGAGGGAGAGAGGATTCATCAGAGACAGAGTGGGGAACAGAACAGGCAGACTGACAAAATACACTGCTGAGGGGAGCAAGGGGGGAGACAGGAGAGGCCTGCCATGCCATGTAGGATACTCACTGGCCGGCTGGGATTGAACCTGTGCTGCAGAGGCTGTGGACAGCCTCACAGTGGGGCACTCAACTGCCAGAGCCACCAGGGAGACTCTTCCTTTACTTTTTTAACCCTTTGCTAAACACTCCCCCAAATCTAGTCCACAGAATAGAAATCCCAGTGTCCTTTGATCACTGTTAATATTATTTTATTATTTTATTGAGGTAACATTGGTTTATAACACTGTGATTCAGAGGTATAGGATCATACCTCTATGTCACCACACTGAAATGTCACCAGTGCACCTACAGTCCATCACAGCCCATTGGCCCCATGTATTACTTGAAAAGAGAAAGGAAAAAAATCAAAAGTAATTTATGTATGCCATGTAAGAAAGCAGAATATATTGAGATTCTGGCTAAAGTTTGTTATTACTTTGCTTTTGAGACTCACCATTTAAATCTGTTCTCTTCAACTCCAGTCTTCTTATTAGCATATATGAGAAGATAATATGCTTTTGTAGTTGGTCAACCTCAACTGCACTTCAATCCTGTTGCCACAGTGTTGTATAATTTTAATACGCACATAATGTATGACATTTATTTTGCATTATTTGTTTATATTCAGAAATTATAATTTGGATCAATATTTGTTTATCTTTTATACAGATTTGATTAAAATAAATTGGTATTGGCTTTTGGTGATTGCCTTTAAAAAAACTCTTTAAGCAATAGTCTTTTACTTGTTATATCATGAATGAAATAAGTTTTGAACTCCTCTTTATGTGAACTTTTCTATTCTCCTCACCCATTTTCTGATATTGTTTATTTCACTTAGATATTTCAGACCCAGGAGAATATACTCTAAATTTGTTTACTTTTATATGATTCACCTTCTTGTGTTATGTAAGTTTTGTTCTGAACTTAGACATGGAAAATTAAGTTAATTAAGTTTAAATAAATGGTTGCTTTCAATGTCATTGCCAATCTTGTTCTAATATAGCTTTCCCACTTTTAGCTTATTTTGGTTCCTTTTTCAATCAGTTACACCAAGATCATTGAGACTTTATTCAGGAAAAGTACTTAGATGTAACATTTTTGACCTTATATAAATCAAAG